CACCTCGCACGCTCTGGGCAATGCGCGGGAGGAGGGGAAGGGGGAAGAGGGAAGCCAGCACACGCAGCCTCTTCAGCTGAGCGCGGGATTGGGCTCTGGACCACATCCAGTCCAGAACTGGACACGTGCCGCAACATTCTGGGCCGGAGATGGCCTGAGAGAGAGCCGGCTTTGGGGTGGGCATCATGAGGATGGGAGAGGGGAGGAGGGATATCCAGCCCTGCGGAACGTGGGGATGGCCAGGGCTCCAGGAGGCGACCATGTTCCTATGGGGGTGGAGGCTTGGTTAGGAAATAATGATCTGCACAGCTGAATGGAAGCTGGAGGGTATAAGGTGCCCTTGGTGGGTTTTCTTTTTCTTACATTCTTCCGTAAAGCTCATGCACTTATTATCTGAGCCAGATGATCTGCTGAGAAGGTCACCGTCCTCGCAGACCAGTCCTGGAAGGACTGAGACCCAGGTCTTGTGGTCTGGGGCTCCCAGTAACAGTGCCGGCCAGTGGGAACTTTGGGAGTGGACATGGACTGAGGAAGGCAGCCTTTGGCATGACCATCTTAGAGCAGGGGGCAAGACCAGTGAAAGGTAGCCCAAAGGCAAGGTCCACAGGATGTGTCCCCACCAGCGTGCCGGGGGGCGGGGGTGGCCAGGAAGCCCTGGCAGGATGTGGCGCGGGCCAAGGCAGCCTCGGCTGGGTGGCGGTGTTGGGGTGCGATGTGACTGGAAAGCAGGAAGCTTGAGAAGGTCTGTCAGATCAGAAGTCGGCTGTGGGAGAGTCCAGGGTGGAGGGGGTCAGCCGTACAGGTTCGAGCTCCGGGAATCCAGACACAAGTGCCATCGGTGCCGGTGGGGTGGAGGAAGGACGGGTGGGTCTGCATAAAGTTCTGGAGCTCAGATCTGGGTGATTCGGGTGGTGACAGAGCCCAGGTGAGCTCCCACACTGGAGGCCCTGGCATACGTCCGCTGCCTGTTTCTACAAACATTTTGTGCGCCCCTTGGTGTGTGGCCTTCCGCTGGGGCCATGCAGAGCCCTGGGCTGATGGAGACACTGTAACCTGCACACCAGGGCCCCCGGAGCCTGGAAAGGAGCTGGGGTGAGAAGCTCAGCGTGTCCTGGAAGGAGCAGCTTAGCACTGACTCAGTCCAGGTACGAGAGCTGACGCCAGTGCTCCCCGGCTCTGTGTCTGGGGGTCAGTTTCTAAACTTGCCTCTCCGAGGAAGCTGGAACAACAACGCCTCCTGGGAAGGAGCCATCAGGAGACATTTGTTGGCACTGTCCTTCCCGGGCAGTGTCGAGGATGGGTTAAGAGCAAATATCCACCCCAGGAATGTGTAGGTTTGGGAGAATTCCAGGAGAAGCTGGATTTGCAGATTAACCATGCAGGTTAACGTGTTCCCTAGCAGAAGTGCAGGCACGGGGTTTGTGCTCTGGTGAGGGTCACCCGTCCCGTCCTTGGCCTTTCTTTACTGTCCCAATCAGGGGACCTTGTCGCTGGCCACTGGGCAGGGTTCGGGTGCCAGTCGTGAAATGCTGAATCTGTAAGCCTTGAAAGATCCCTGCAGACCATCCTTACGGGAGTTAACAGGACACTAATGATCTCACCAGGCCCAACAGGCTAATGTGATCTGAAGACTGTGTATAAAAGTCAGACCCCAGTGTATTTCTGACTTCTCCTAGCCATGAATCTATACACGTTGACTCTCCCCAGAAAACCGTCCGTATCCTTCTTTGACTTGAAAGTGGAGCAGACTTCCTCCTCCTGTTTTGAGAGTCTCTGGTCTGTTTTCATGTCTCCCTAAGGGGACGACAGCGTGAGAGACTCACGTGCACGACCGAATGCAAACGGACAAGTGCGGTTCGTGGGCCTGTCATCCTTTTTCCAGAATGATCTTCAAGGGGGCGGTCTGAATAGAACTCAGAATCTGAGCCACTGACAGCATTTTCTTTGATGATGTTTGTGGCAATTTGCACAAAAATTCCTACCCAATGAGCTAAATTTGTCCTTGAGAAGAAGAACGCATTTCATGGTGTTCGGGAAACTTAAGATACATCGAATCCTTTTCTATCTGTGCCCTTTCGTAAAACCATGGCCTAAAGTTTGGGGTGGGATGGACCAAAGGACGGAACACAAGCCTGAAAGCCCCTCACGGAAGCATCACTTCCCTGCTCCCACAGGGCGGCGTCCAGCCCCAGCGAGAGGGGCTGCTTTGCCTCGAGTCTCGGGCTTACGGTCAGGATTGTGCTAAGGAGCAGGGCAGGTCTGCACCTGCAAACCTCTCCTCACACGAGCATGAGGAAGGGTTCTGTGGCCCACCCGAGGGCTCACCAGAAGCACGTGAGCAGCGTCAGACGGCACGAGCCCTGGAGCAGCGGGCTCAGGGCGAGACGGGGACTCGTGAGACACTGTGCGGGCTCACCCAGTGTCCCAGGGGACCCGCGTGAGCTGGGGCAGGGATAGCCGCACGGAGGGCAGAGCCAGGGGCCACGCTTTCTAACTCGCTGGCGGCTAAGTCCTCCCCTCTTGCGGGGCGTCGCATCTCATCTCATCTGTTGGGAAGGGCGTCGTGGCCCCCATGTGGGAGGGAGCGCGCGCGCAGTGCCACTAACACCCTCCTGATGCCTCTGAACCCGGCTCCTCAGAGGTCCTTCCTGCACGGCGCGAGTGTGTGTTTGGAACACTGACCATCAGGTTGAACCTGCCCATGCTAACCACCAGGGGGACAAATTCCAGAACTTTCTGGGAGCCCCAATCTCCTCCCTGGTAAACTGGTGGTCGTTCCTGCCTCTGGGACCATGGAGAAGACTGAAGGCAGCTTATGGGAAGTTCTTCGCAGATACCTGGCATTTATAGACTCCCCGTGAATGCCTTCCATGAGACGGAAGTAGAAAAAAGGAGGACCAGACAGGAAGGACTGGACAGGGCTAGACAGAACTGGAGTGGACAGGACCAGATAGAATAGGATGGAATAGGACCAGACCGGATAGGATAAGACAGAACCGGATGGAGCTGGACAGGACAGGACCACAGAACTGGACAGGACAGGACCAGATAGGTTGGGATGGCACAGGACTGGACAGAACTGGACAGGACCTGACAGGATAGGACAGGACCAGAAGGAACCAGACAGGACAGAAGTAGATGAAACTGGACAGAACAGAATAGGGTGAGTTTCACGTTTTTCTGTTGGGTGTAATTACCGTCCGTAAGAATGCCCTGTTCTTCTTCCAAACTGAGAATTTGATGCATGAATGTGTGTGGGCCATGACCAAGACTGAATTCCTACCAGTGCAGCTTTCTTAAGGGAAAGTGGGACAACTCCGTAGCTACAGCCGAGTTTGGCTTTTTAAGCTTTTTGTCCATTCTAGGGAATCAAAGATGAAGGACAAAACTCAAAAAGTTTGAATTATAGTAGGCATGGAATGGATCCTCTTGAGAACGATGAACACTTAATGTCTAATGAGGTACTGTGAGGGAGTTCTGTATTTCAGGGCTTGGATGACCCAAAGTCCTGCATAAGTCTCTTTTCCACCATCAGACAGTCTGTGGATAGCGTATCTTTCAAGTCCCTTTGCTCCTATACCCATAAGTTACTGGTGACCGTGAATACCTCTCATCACCATCACAGGACACATAAGCTGTGGCCTGTGGAGCTGAGAGGACATCCAGGAAAACTGACCTTCCCATCCCGTCTGAGCAGCATCTCAGGGCATGTGGCAGAATCGGATTAAAAATTTAATCAGAGTCTTAGATTGCATATTGTAATGCCCCCATTTTAAAAGGCGAGACTTTGCCTTTTCTCCCATCATCTGAGATGGGCGCACCCCCGTTTACAGAGAGATTGGGGTTGGAAAAATTGACCTGAAGGGTCAGAGCTCAGTGCAAAGCTCACTGTAAAACTGGCGTCATTTCACAGGGTGGCTGCAGACACTGAGCACAGGTGTGCCTGGGCAAGCCGCCGCGGACCTGCCTGTTGGATGGGACGCAGGATAGTGACAGTCTCTGTTAGATTCGGACTGTCAAGGGACAGTGTCAGTAAGGAAGACTGAGGGTTTGTCAGGAAATAATTAAGGTAGTCACTTCAAGGAAAAGCTTGGCCCAGTATCCCAGTATTTTAATAAATGTTTCCTGGGACAACAGGGAGGGTCTGTAGTCAGATAAGTCTGTCTCCTGCAAGATGCCGTGCGGTCTTTCCTCTGCGAATCCAGCGGGTGACCCAGCAAGCTTAATCTAGCAGCTTCGCTGGGCTCACAGCTCCCGAGAGACGTTGGGATGCCGCCATTGGAGAGAAAACTGCATGTATGTGTCCGCACGTGTCTGCACGTGTGCTCCGTGTGTGCACGTGGGTGGCATCTGCTAACCCTTCAGACACAGACACACGGTGGGAAGCCCTGACCGATAAAAACAGAACAAGAACTTGAAGATTTGAGGCACTGATAACATTTATGAAAGCAGCTGATAAGGAATACCCACAGAAATTGATAGCTCTTTTTGAGGTAGGGGAAAACACTAATTTTCCCCCGCCCGATGTGTCGTGTGACATTTCTCATTTTCTATGAACACTTTCTAAGAAAAGTTGAAAAGATGAATGAAGGGCCTTTGCTATGCATTCAGCCCAGCGAGAAACACACAGCTTTTGTGAAGATGTGCTCTCCCGGATGTGATGCTCAGGTCTGGGGCCAGTGTGTACCGATTCTGCTGAAAAGTTCCTCGTGGTTCTAGGATGTGTTCTTGGTTGCAACCCCCAAGATGTTTACCATAGCGGGTGTTATAGATAATGTGCAGGAGCTTAGAAATCTGGAGTCACAGCCCTGTTTCTGAGCATCTCCGGTTTACCTTTCAGGCACCTGTACGAAGGCTGACCATAACCGATTAGTAGTTAACTAATGGTTTTGAGCAATAATACCTCCTTTATTAAAAAAGAATAACCTTTCTTTTAAATGCTTATTGTGTCTCATGAACATTATCAAAAGTCAGCTTTCTTTTCTCCTTCTTTATTGCAGTTGTATATGGGGCCGATGGCTTTAGGGATTTTCATGCACTAATTCCCAAATCTTTCTCTCGTAAGTATATGCCTTGCTTCCAGAAAACAGAAACATGTATTCACTTCATACTCAGTTTCCATCGTGCAAATATCGTAAATGCATGATTCTTCATCACCCACCTTCATACTTGAAAAGAATGAGGTAAATAACGTCCATCCCGTTCATTACACACCTGTCATCTGGGGCATCACTGATACGAGAAGGTGCATATGTAACATTTCAGACCATTGGAAGATTAGACCGTGGACCATGCCTTCTGGTGGAGTAATAGGGGCAGAAGGAACACTAGAATTGTTACTCCGCTAATGCTAGTCAACAGTTCTGTCATTAACGTGACGAGTATCTCCTTTCGAGTGAGTATGATGATAAAATGGCCAGACTTCCTGTTGCCATGAAACAGCCAAATGTGTGTGCACGATGACTTCTACAAGTCTGTGGGAGGAAGAGACAGCCTCTCCCTCTGTTGCTCTGAACTATTAATTTCAGAACCGAGAAGAGAAACATCCCAGGGCTTTGGGGCCGTTAGTCTGCGGTGCGGAGCCTTGCTGCCCAAGCAGACACACTTAGTATTCTGTGTCCTCAGGACAGTCCTGCTCTGAGCTGTTAAACCAAAAGCAGATGTTAATTTCATTTTTAGGTATTGAGAGATGATAAAGCATAGATAGAACAGGGCAGCAACTTTGAGGGAGTATTTTAAGGAATGGAGTGTGCTTTTTAAAAATGCTTTAAAAATATTTAAAGTAGCCCAGGTTGGTCCCCTACCCCCTTAGGAGCAAAGCCTTCGAAGCCTGCATTAGTAAATTCTCTCCTGTGGCAAAGCAACATCAGCCAACAGGGCATGCTTGTTAATCCTGGAACTGTTGCGGATCTAGGTGCAATCCGAAAGGTGTCAGTAACGGTAAAGGTAAGTTCCTGACATCCTGGCCATCAAAACTCTTTGCTATCTAAAGGATTTGGCAACAGCCCAGACTGGAAATGGACTGCTTTCCCAGGATATTAAAGTTATCGAGATTTTTCTCTTACTAATCCTCCTTCAATTCAACTTGAAAACAATAGCTTGGGGTTTATTTTTGGGAGATACGGATGTATGTATATGTGTTTCTGCATGTGTATAGAGAGGTGTGTGCACTCCTATGATGATAGCGGACACGGAGGCGTTAAGACAGAGAAGTCACGTTAATGTTGAGATGAACAGTCACATTGCTGAAATGTCGAGATGTCAAATGCACTTAAGAGTAAGAAAATACTTCCTGAGACGGTTTCACTAAATCTGAGGGAGGTTCCGGGGCAAGCATGCTGGGAAGTGCTCATGGAAAGATAGATGCCGCTTGGAGATTTCATAAAGTAGATGATGCACGTTTTGATATATGCTTGTCTATATACTTATGCAAATGAATCACAAGGTACACAAGCTCTCTCTTTCCTCCCCGCCCCATATCACGTCCTCAGACTGTAAACTTCCTCCCCGTCCCACGTGCAGGTGGCGGAAGACCTGAGGACTTCCCCACCCCGACAGCAACCCAGCTGTCCTGGGCCAACATCGCCACCTGGTGGGCAAGGTGGAGAATGCCTCTGCTTGCCCTGCCTCGCCTCTTTTCTTTCTTGAAAATTAAAACTATAACCCGTTGGACCCCCCACTACCTTCTCTATCCCAGTTTGTGTTCCCAGTTACCTGAGGAAGATGTAAATGTGCTTGTAAATCATTTCACTGTCAGACTCCTCTTTTCTGTCCCTGACTTCATTTCATTTAAAGGCCTAAAGTATCAAATAAGGATAAATTATGCATCTTGACAAGAAAAATATCACTACATTTTACTGGGGTTTGGGGGGAGGTGGTGGTGTTGTTGGCTGTGGAGCCCAACAAGGGTCTTGAACTCATGACCTTGAGACCATGATATGAGCCGAAACCAAGAGTCGGACACCTAATGGACTGAGCCGCCCAAGTGCTCCAAAACCCCTATATTTTAAATGATAAAAGTTATAACAAGTGGTTTTCTTAGCTTAAAAATCCTTAAACGTTCTTCTAAATCTCTTAGAGGTCGCACCAAAAAAAAAAAAAAAAAAAGAAAAAAAAAACGTATTTCCTCTTCGTCTCAAATTTTAATTACGCTCATTCAAGATCTCTTGTAAATATTTTTACTCCCTTTGCATTTTGCTTGCTAGTCACAGGTGGCAGGAATATTTCTGTCTCCCATTTTGTTGTTGTTGTTCATTTAAAATACGGAGTGCTTTAGGCTCACGTGGCCTAAATTCAGACCAAGAGATTCCACGGAATCTCTTCTCCGTGGAAAAGCCCGGTCTGTGGACCGAACATTTACCTTACCAGTAAATAGAAAGACACATTCCAGAAGGGCAAGGAAAACAGGGAGGAATCACAACCCATTTGTCAGGTGGGGGCTGGCAGGGCACATTTTATCTGTACATTAAAATGTTTTAATCATTCATGCGTCCGTGCAAGCTTGGCAGCCGGAGAGCCCTCCTGGCCCTGTTGACTCGGGTCCCTGGATTCTGCAGACTGTCCAGTGCTCAACTTGTGTACGAGCTGACGTCCACCCAGCCTTAAGGGTCTGGGGTCTGCCTTCAGTCTGCTGCATTACTAATAACATAGAAGGTCTCTAAGTTACGTAATGATATTTCAATTTTTCCTAATATTTCAATTTTTCCAAGATTTGAAGACATCTGCTCTTAATAGAGGCCACGTGTATTGAATAATAAAATCGGGCCCCTGTCCACACGTTCTCGGGAACCAGCGGAAGAGCCGCAGGGGTAGTCCTGAGCCGGCGCGCTCTGGGGTAGAGACATGCGTGAGTCTCACCTCATGTTCTGCATTTAATCAGTTCAATCCAGGGCGGTGCTGAGTTCGACATTTTACTAAGTAGTGGGGGGATAGAGTTGCAAAATATTTGAGTGTAATCCCCACGCTGAGGGAGAGCCTAGCATTTCACAGACAGCATCGCACGCCTGAGCCATTCTGGCTCGGACACAGAGGGGTGGGTGAGGGGTTCAGGAGTCCAGGGAAAGGAGAGCACGTCAGCACGAACCCGGTTAGCTCAGAGACAGTGTCCAAGGGGCGGACCAAACAACCATAAACACAAACAAGGGGAGACCGTCTGTCTCATGGAAGGGACTGGAAGGAGACCAATTCTGAAGGACAGGGGACTCGTCCTATTCCATTTGACTCTTCTCAAGGGACCAGAGTAGGAGCCTTGCCTCCTCCTTGGCTGGGCTCCTGGCCAGCAGGTGGACAGCTTAAGTCAACGCCGGTCATCTGTCCTGAACTCTTCATTTATTGAAGCAACTGCCAGTGCCTTTGACTTCCGCGGGTTGTGGAATTCAACATAACCCAGCGGTCGGACGGGCCTCCCAAGTCCTCCGTCACATGTGTACATGGACATGCGGGGGTGAACCGCCCAGGTGCCCACTCTGCTCCATGAGCGAGAGGCCGCCTGCCCGGCCACAGAAGGAGCCCCCCACCCAGGCACCCCCAGACTCCCTCTGCTGGGCCCACACCACCCAGACCACCCGCTCTCCTGTTCAGCCTCAGTCTCCCTGCCCGCGAGTTGTTTGTCTGAGCTGGTCCAGCCCCATGGAAGCCCCCAGTGTGCTCAGCCCCCACTGACTTCCTTCCTTCTGACCAGTACGGGCTAGGCTCATCCTTTTAAAGGAGGCACACACAGGGCCAGGCCCCAGGGCTTGCGGCTTGTATCCCCCCGTGCAGGATCCCAAGACTGCATCTTCTGCATCTTCTGCTTCTCCTTTTTCCAGCCACATCACTAACTGAGCCATGACCCCCAAAACCTTGTTCACACATAGATAAGCAGGGCTGACACCTCCCCTGTCCTGAGTTTGTGTTTTTTTTTTAAAGGCATGTTTTAATTTAAGGGGACTGGACGTTTGTGTCCACTAGATCATAATTTTGAGACCGGTGTTCGTGACTTATTACGATAGGTTTGTGTCCTGAAACCTTGCTGCCTGTGTTCTCCTCTTAGCAGAGGGGACACCCCGTTGTCATGGACACCCCCCTCGGACAGCGTCTTCCGTGTGGCCAGCACCCCTCTGCATTCGTCCACAGAGACAGGAATGCTGGGGATTCTCCCTCTCCCTCTGCCCCTCACCCCACTCTCTCTCAAATAAATAAATCTTTAAAAAAAGAAAAGAAAAGCTAAGTTGAGAATGCTTTCTGCCCATATTGAGAGAACTGTCGCCAGTGCTTGACTCTGGTGTGCCCATGGGGACGGTGCTGCCCACTGGGATCCCGGGCCCCTCCCTGTCATCCTTTTCCCCTCGGTCCCTACAGACCTCCCCTGCCCTAACATGGCCTGGAATCTGTCCCCAGAGTGCGAGCAAGCTCTCAGCCCTCAGTCTCTTGGGGTCCGCTCCGGCTCCGACCTGGAGCCGTGGGCGGAGGCTGCTTCCAGGGGCCCCATCGCACTCCCGCCAGTCGTGGTCCCCTGACCCACCCCCGTGACTGGGGTGTTCTCTGCACTCTCTCCTTCAGAGACCCGCCGCGTCACGGCTCCCCGAATTCCAGTTCGTGAGGTTTGCCTCCTCCGGCACCAAGCAGATTGACCTCAGACCGCACCTGGGCCCTGCAGAGTCGCAGGCTCTCATGCCTCCTAGGCTCTCGTGCCTTTTGACCCTCCTGTTTTCGTTCTATCAACTGTTCCCGACCATCGCCTGGCATCAGAGCAATGAGAAAGTCGGAGTATGATGGGAATCAGGTCTGGTTTGAGGGCTTCTGTCATACATAAGGGGACACCATGCTGTGCGCCCCCCTCGCCTCCTTTCTTCCTGATGCAGCGTGGCCCCCCTGCTGGTGGCCTGCTGTGGCTCCTGTCACTCTTAAAGTCGCCCCGCTGCTTTCCCACCCTCCTGCCCGTCACCAGGCAGGGCCCACACTGTCACCAGCAGCGCACAGCCACACAGCACACGGCAGGGTCACAGCCATACCCACCTGCCTTACCCCTGTGGTGGTTTCAGGCAAGGGTCCGTTCTCTCCATGTCCCCATACCTCTCTAGCCGCAGGTGCGCGGACCTACACCCGTATCTCGGCGCCACTGAAGAACCTCTCACCCCCACGATCATGGGCCCCACCTGCCCTCCCATCCCCCGGTCTTGTTTGATAAAAGAAACAAGCCACCAACCAGATGATTACAAATGATCCCAGCTGAAGGCATTCAGAAGCCTTTGCAACTGGACGGTCCTGTTTCCAGAGCATTCTAGTGCAGAGCCCCATGCTAAAGAGACCCTGGAGAATGAGCTTGCCCCTGGAGAGGGACCTAGGAATATGGACTCCAGAGAGCTCCGAGGTCAGAAAGCCTGATGGCACCCCCACCGCCTGGCCTGTCTCGTGTCCTGTACTCCCCGTGTCACTGGGACCTGGTCCCTTTCTCTGGAAGCCGGGAGAGATCAGGCCCCTCTGGGGTGCTCTGGGGGGTCCGATCTTCGGGACCTACTAGGAAAGTACAGGTGGGGATTCCCTCTTTCTGGATGTAACACTGGGATCTGATGAGGGGAGATACTCCGTCCTGGGCTCTGGCCCGTGTGCCAATCACCGTCCCATTCACTTATTTTGTCTCCCTGGAGAGCTAAAGGAAAATCTTGGCCGTCCAGCAGCTAGGAATGCGGGCGCTGGGGCCAGCCTACCCGCGAGACCTCCCAGGTCTGCCCTTGCCGGATGTGTGACCCTCTCGTGTGGCTCAACCTCTCTGTGCCCGAGCTTCCACCGGGACACAACATGACAGCATGACACCCCTCTGCGGGTCCCCGTGAGAACTAAGTGCCCCATGGCAAGTAAAGTGCCGTGTGTCTGGCACAGACTTCGTGTTTCAGATGTCACTGGGGTGGTGGCCCCCTCCCCACATGGCCCACCTAGTGCCCGTCCTAAGCTGACTCCTCATCCACCTTGCACTGTGTCCCCACAGCGCCCCTGGTTGGCCACAGTGGCTCCTTCCGGCCTTGACAGGTGTGAAAACCAAAACCAGGGAAGGTGTGTGTGTGACTTGCCCCCAAGATCTCAGTGCTCCGAGCGAGCAGAGTGGACATTCCCAGGCACGAATGTCGGCTTCAGAGTCTGGACTCTTGACTTATAATCAAAGCGTTGCATAAAGGAGGGTTACTAACTAGGTGGATTATTTAAAACCGTGGTCTCAGAAAAGCCCCTGTGTCGGAATCCCCAGGAGGGAGGCTCGTGACAACACAGGGCACCGGGCCCACCCCCAGAGCTTCCGGCTCGGCGCATCTGGGGCTGCCCAGAGAATTTGCTCCTCTGACAAGTTCTCGGTTGATGCTGACGCTACTGGTCCACAGACCAAGCCTGGAGACCCACAGATTCCAAATGTCGATCAGAGATCTCGTAGTCCCCATTACTGTCTAGGTCACTGTGTCTTGTACTCGGCAAAATTTACCTCCCTGTTCTCCTTAATCTATGGAGGCCATATGAGAAGTGCTAGCGCTCAGGTCGTTGTCATCTCTCCGGTCATGGGGTGGGACTCATCAGTTCATCACCGGGCTGTGTTTCAGAAGGATGCGCATGAAATGTCTCTGATTTTCCTTACCAACAAAGCTCTGCAAGTGGCACCCGTCACTGCCCTCGATGTGACTTTAACGGAATCAGGAATGCAGAGCCAGCAGGAGTCGGTGTGCTCCTTAATGCCAGCCCTTGGCCCTCACGCATGGGGCTGGCCGCTTGAGACACTAACGAGATCTGTCACCTCCACAGACGCTGCCATCCACCCTTCAGCAGCTCGAAATCCTGTAGGAAATCGTGGCTCCACTCCGGGGCGTGCTCTGTTATCGTGGGCGCTAAAAAAGGAGATAGGAGGATCGTGTACCAAAGGAACAATCCATCAGAATTCCTGCGGAAACCCTTCAGGAGTCCGTGGCCAGAAACGGGAGCGTGAGCTCTTGCTGAGTCTGTCCCAGAGTGTATTAACCCATGAAACAGGGAAAGGTCGCCTGACGAGGAGGAGGAGCTTTTCAGGCTTGACGATCACTTAGGAGGGAGGTGGCCCCGGGCGGGGGCACCTGGAGCGGTCAGTGCCCACCTGCCCAGGAGCCCAGCTCGGGGCCGCCGTCCCGGTCGACAAGCCGCTGAGAACCTTCTCCGCCTCCATGTGCTGTCTTTTTGCTGCTGTGTTGTTCTGTTTTTTTGCGATGACACTGAGTGGCCCCTGTATTGTGTCTTTCAGCCAGTAATGTTAAAGTAGAGGCTCAGAGTGATGAAGAGAATGCGCGTGCCTGTGAGCTGAATGGGGAAGAATGTGCGGAGGATTTACGAGTGCTTGATGCCGCGGGAGAGAAAATGAATGGCTCCCACAGTGGCCAAGGCAGCAGAGCTTTGTCGGGAGCTGGAGGCATTCGACTTCCTAACGGCAAACTAAAGTGTGATGTCTGTGGGATAATTTGCATCGGCCCCAATGTGCTCATGGTCCACAAGCGAAGCCACACTGGTAAGGCCTGGCGCAGTTCCTCCTTTGGTGGCCTGGAAAGGTCCTCGGGGGCAGCAGAAAGAGAGCGATGCCCTGTCTCTCAGCACTGGTTCCAAGTCGTAGCACAGGTATCGCAGCAGCAAGAGGGACTTTAAACACGCACCTGTTCAAACCTAGACTTAAAGCCATTGGATGGGGAACGTTCACAGCCTCCCCAGTGCTGTCAAGGGTCCGGGATCTCGCCGCCCGCTAATGAGCAGCAGCTGTGCGGTTAGTGTCCCTGTAACCTCCCCCTCCCCGCAAAAAACAACAAGAAGACGAAACCAAACAAAGAGAGAGGGAGCCGCTCACGTGTGCTCCTCCAGGTTTCCCCGAGAAACTGGGAGTAAAAGGTGCCTTTTTGAAATCCAGGGTCCCAGAGCTCGGTGTTTTGAAACGTGGGTGAGCCGTGGAAAAGTCCCACATGTCCCCAAGTCCAGCTCAGTTTCCCGGCGGTGTCCCTGCCAACAGGTGAGCCTCAGGACAAGATGGCTGATTGCCTCTGAGTGTCCACCTCCCACGGGGACGGAATCTCCCATCCGAGCCTCTGTCTGTTGGAGGCTCTGGAAGCCTCAGAGAAGGAGGTTTCCTGTGTCCAAACAGGAAGGGACGAGGACAGTGTAGCGTCCCACGGCTGTGCCCAAGCTCATGGGGGGTGGGGGGGATAGTTCTGCCCCTTCTTGTGCTTGGCCATGGCAGACGATCGGTCCCATACCTTCCCACCAGGACTGGGGAGTCACCTTGAATGGCCTCAGATAGTCTTCAAGACATGAATGGGGCCATGTGCTACCTTTAGCTGTATGCAGGAGGTGTCCCCTGCATTGAAGAGAGCTTCACTCTTTTCCCCTGAAGGTGTGCAAAACGCAATAAAGTCACCATCTCTAGTGGTCACCGGAAGTGTAAACATAAAACGGAGGAACCCCGAGTCTTGGCTGCCTAGGGGCCGTCTTCGGTGGGTCACCACGACGTCCGCTGCTGCCACCACTGTCTGCAAGGGGATTTAAAAAAAAAAAGGGGGGGCTGAAATCGTTACTCTGGGGGCACAGCAGATTTTAAAGATAAGTTAAGGAAGTAGGAAGAAGACTTGAAAATCACAGCCTTGTGAGTGTCTTCCCCAGGGCCAGGTAAATCCCTGACTGTCAGAAATTAAGCAGGAATGCAGGAAAACCTTTGAGCGGAACAGCTGTCTTGTCAGGACACACAGGCCTTGGTGGAGCTGTGACTTTCCCATCTGAATCGCGACAGTCTCCAGAATGATGTCTTCCACTTGTAAGACATCTGGAGAATCCTAAAACCCGTTTACTTTCGGAAAACGTGCGTTTTCAGTAAAAACGTAACTTCTAAAATTAAGCAAACTTTGCTTTTCCTAATGCGTCCCTTCATCTTCCAATTATCCCATGAAACAGACCCTTCACAGGGAGGCCTAAGTCAAGCTTGCGTGAGAGTAGTCAGGCCCTCCCCTTTTGTAATGACTTGGAAATTAAAGCGAAGGTAAGTTACTTCGTGATAGACACGTAACAGAACACGCCGGGACCCGTGTTAATACGTTCCTGATGGAGGAAAAGACCTCACAAATGAATGAGTTTCCCTGCTAATTCATGTAAAGCCCGACTGTACTGTGAAAATTCGCTTAAATAAATATTTGATAAATGAATCAAATCCTGGCATGCTAAATCGCCAAAACATGATGACTGCCTGCCCCGATCAAAAGAATAATTGCATTTAATGAATAAACCTTCCAGGTGTAGATATGCAGAGTAGCCCGGCCGCGTGCTGCTCACTTCTCCCCACAAACGGCAGCTAAGTGCCAAGCACGGAACTGATTCCTTCCCTTGTAGGACAAGCACATTCCAGAAATAGGAACAGGCAGACTGTCAATGTCACCGTTCCTGGTCTGGCTTTTATTAAAACAAACCAACAAACCCTGAAACGATGAACTCATGGATGGTCTTCATGATGTGTTCCCACTGGCATAAACGCGAACGGCGGCAGGCGGATCCAAGCGAGGCTGGAATAAGTAGATGACGCCAGGGACATTTCCGTTCCAGCTCTCTGGGATCTGAAGCAGAGTATGTTAGAAAAGGCATGCTTTGCTACCCATCCGTCCCCACCCCGAATTCTCCGAGTTTCCAGTGTTTCTAGAGCAGTTTCTTCTCATGCTCGAAGGCCATATAAATCATGCCAGGGCTTCCCTCCCTGGTACCCGACGGCTCCCAGGGGCAGGCTCCCCTCTTCCCTCTGCCCAGAGCCCAACTGGGGAAGGTGCACTGGGCTCCACCCACTGACCTGTGTGTGGATCCCACTACTTCCATCCCAAGTTTTGCCGCTCAGTTTCATTTTTGTTTTTAACTCAAGTGTAATAGCACTGCCTTCCCCACCAACACCTCGGGGTTGATGTGAGAATCACAGGGGAGAGTGGTACAAACGAGCCACACGGTGCAGGGGAAACCCCACCACGCAAATATGCAGCAGTGTCGTCCTAAGTGATGGGACTGTGAATGATCACGAGCAAGAAACGTGTCTGAATTATAGTGACTCTGGACAGACTCAGGCTTCCCCCGTTCCCATCATCACCAGCATCAGAGAGCATTCAGCTCCGAGGTGTGGCTGGCATGGGCCCAAGTTCATTCTGCCGGCTCAGGTATATATTCTATAATCTACCTTCTTCTGATATCCCCCCTTAAGTTCTACGATGGAGACATCCAAGGGGCTCAGACCTTCTTACAGAGGGTCCCTGGCACGGGCACCTGTAGACCCTGAGAGTAAAAACTCAATGTTGACTTAATGAGGATGATAAAGCCTTCATCCCACCAAGGAAAAGAAATCCAGCCTTGGGGAGCTCGCTGTCACTTAGCTGCAAGAAGCAAGCTAGGGACCAGAGGAGGGAAGCAGTTGATGCTGGAGCCTCAGCTCCAGGGGAGCAAAGGTAACGGGGGCTGTGTTCTGTCCCCTGCAGCAGGGCCATGCCCCCTGTTCTGCTAACAACACCTCCAGAGGGAAACTACCTCGAGCTGAGCCCCGGGTCGTCACTTCGGAGAACGCCGTCTTCGGGAGTCTCCATGTCCCATGTTACATATTCATGCCAGCACAGGCAATCAGAAACAAATAGATTTCCAGGAAAGCTTGCCAGCAGGATTAAGACACCAGGCACAGCAAGATACACGAGAACTGTTGACTCAAATTAGAAGACAGATTTCACTCTCAAAGCAACAGCCGCCTTGCTTTCCTCCTCGCCCTCTCTCGCGGGCAGGGGGCATGGCTTGACTGTGCAGTCCCTCCTGGGTCTGAGGCTGCAGCTCCTACACAGACAAGTCTGACTTGGGTTCCCCCCCCTGCCTCCAGCCCTTTGGATCTCCAGTGCCTCGTCAGCCTGGAAGGGCTCCATCACACAGCTAGCTAGCTTTGGGTCTCGCCACACACACCTGTTCCCCACGTATGGCCTCCGCCCTCCCTGTATGCATTTTGGGTGGTGTGAGCTCTCCCGACTGATGCCCTTTCTGTAACGTTCAGCCAGAGGTCCACACTGCCAGGATCCATTGCACCCTGCTCGTCTCACCTGGCCCCTGAGGACCAATGATTTCTCTTCTCCCGTGCATCTACTTGGAGTTAAAATACGCACCTTCACGCCCATGTGTGTGATGAAGGCTCAGAAGTGTTTCTAATAGGTAATGATCTCTCCCTGGTGGAGGCTCCTGGGGGCCACTCGGCCACCAACTCTTTGAGATTTTAGCCCAAGCTCATCAGGATCACTGTCACCTCCCACCTGCCTGACTTTTTGCCCAGCCAAGTCCACCTCAGATGCCGACTGGGGAAAATACCCAGTATGTCCCGATGGGTATAGGGATCCCTCCAACTGGCCTGTAATTCAATATCATTGCTAGTTTCCATCATTACCATAGCAGCTTTGTCCAGCCCACTGAAAAATACAAGGGATGATAATCATGACATCCTGGGGCCAATCTGAGTTTTTCCACTGAAGCCGGTGTAGGTTTGAATAGACCCAGACAGGCTTCTGCTAGTTGCTTTTGGTAAGTGCCTCCTTGTGCGCCAAAACCACATTAAGCAATTGAGAACATTGTTGAGTATATATTTTCACACATTCTTTTTTCCTAAGAAAAACCCGTTACCAGGAAGTGTGTGTGGTTTTGGTTGTTTTTTGTTTTTGTTTTTGTTTTGTTTTCATGCTATCTCAACACCAGATATTGTGGGCACAGAGAGCTCTTCTTAAAAGAAAAAAGAAAAAAAGAAGGGAAAAAAAAAGCAGTTGTTTTCAAAAGGGCTTTAGTGTTTACTTAAACCTGACCAGTGTGTCATCCTTTCTACACAAGAGCTAGGGAAAATGGTCACCGATTTGGAGTCCAAGACCCAGGACTGCCCAGTGGCGTGTTTCTTACTCACAGATGCCTGCACGTCCCTTTGTCGGATCCCAAACCCATGGGGACAGGCGCTGCCCCACACAGTCGGGGCTCCCCTAAAAGAATTCCCAAGCACAGCGGAATTGCATCTCTTAGACGACTCGTACTGAAATTACCCCGATCTTCTGCGGAGATAGGCCAGGATAGCTTAGCGGTTTTAGAATTCGGGAGAAGGAAAAAGCCAGAAGTCTCCGAGCGCCTCTAGCTCGGACGGCCTGCCACGAGGGCCCTGGGACTTCTCTTTGGACCATGTGGAGTATCCTTCACAGTTCCTTAACTTCTCATTTTATTCAATCTTTCTCCTTCTCTCTCTCTCTCTCTGAGCCTCACACTCTGTCTGTCTCCTTCCTGATTTGCCTGCGTAGGGACAGACAGGTAATGGAGAAGAAATTGAAAGGCAAAATACAGGAAAAATGTAAATGAAAAGAAGTTATTATAACTGTTATAATGAAGTGCCTTTCATTTAAATATAAGAATGTAACGCTGAAATGAACTTGTGATCCTGAAATGCATTTTTAATGAGTTTCCTTTTTATTTTGCTGCTTCAGTGGCATATTTTAAAGACCCTTTGAAAAAAGCCACATTAAAAACCCCACCAAATGCCACAACACGCAAAATTGGATATTGGTTTATTCCAAAACTGCTGATCAGGAAGAGTGGCTCTTCATCACAAAATGTTGCAGTCACTTTATTTAAATGAGTTTGAATTTGCATTGTGATGTGCCATTCTGATTTAGGGGAAAAAAATTAGATTTTCAGATCAAATTGACCCAACCAGTGAAGCGTTAAGGAGCTGGCAGGTTTAGTCTGAAAGCCTCGTGTTCTATCAAACCTGCAGCCGGTGGAAGTCACCGGCCCCGTGGGAAACAAGTTCCTCGCCGGGTGCTCCTCGCGTCCCCGCGCCGAGTTCTGCTCTCACCCGTCCCTCTCGCCCTCCCAGGGGAACGGCCTTTCCAGTGCAACCAGTGCGGGGCCTCGTTCACGCAGAAGGGCAACCTGCTTCGACACATCAAGCTGCACTCCGGGGAGAAGCCCTTCAAGTGCCACCTCTGCAACTACGCGTGCCGCCGGCGGGACGCCCTCACGGGCCACCTGAGGACGCACTCCGGTAGGTCCTCCGGGCGCAGGTGCCAGGCGTCCAGGCCGGACTTGCACGTGTGTGTGCGCGCGCACGCGTGTGTGCGCATGCGCGGGACCCCCCCCCACCGTGGGCTGGGCCTGGGCGCACGCACCGCCCCCCCACTGGGCCCCCGTACCCCCCAGGGAGTGCGGCAGCAGTGCCCCCGTGCCCCAAGTTCGGACTCCCTCACGGGGCGGAGGGCGCGGGTGGGATCTCGCACACACACACACACAGTGCTGCTTTGCAGACACTCTTTCCAGAAAGACCTCCTCTTCCCGGGGTGCTCAGTCAGTGGGGCTCTTCTGGGATTCTGCCAGCTCTCCTTTCACCCAGCGCTCTGCTAAGGCCCAGAAGTTCCCAGGGACGCTTCTTGATGATACTGGCCAGGCCACACCTGTTTCTGCTTTACGCAGAGGACTCTGCTAGCGGTCACTGTCACTGGTGTAGTTTCTTTTCAAAGCTAAGAGAGAAGGTGAGTAGGGTCTGCGGCCATGCGTCCTGACTGGGGACCAGGCTCTCACCCCCCCCCCCCAGGCAGGCCTCCCTGTCTGGACCTGACCCTAACTCGTGCCAGAAGCCAGACAGGCCTCAGCAGACAGGCCACTCTGGGGCTCTTACCAGAAATTTAGCAAATGCATGTCGAGTAATCCGGAGTCTGGATCGTGATTACCACAGACGTTGGACGGTTCCCCAATTCTCCCAGCCTGCAAAGCGCACATCCACCTTTGGGATCCGTCTTCTGCCTCCTGAGAAATCTTCTATTCTATCAAGGGGCCCCGTGGTCTAGCAGGACAGAGGAACAGAGAGGAGCCCTCTGTCCAGCTGGGACACTTAACCCCTGCACCCCAGAGCTCATCATCTGGACCACCGGCTGGTCCGCGACTTCTCTGGAGCGTGGTGCTGCTGGGGAGGACGCTCCCTGCCAACACGCCCAGAGCCTCGCTGTCCCCCGGGGGCAGGGATGCTGCGTCCCTGGGAAAGCCTGCCTAGAATCAAGCTGTCTCCTTCCCAAATGTGATGAGTGTAGTTCGTGGCGAGGTTCTAATGGCCTCTTCCTTTGCCTCTTCCTTTGTTACTGAGCAATTACGGAGCACCCCAGGGCCCCTCTCTCTGTGGAGGGGCCTGGTGGGAAGTAGTGAAGTGCGTGTTGCCCGTCTGTTGACACAAGTGTCTGAGGGGCTAGTGGGAGTGCAGGGAGGGGACCGTCAGTCTCCGGAGGGGGCAAAGAGGTGGGAGGCTTCAACAAAGACTTCCAACAGACGAGGGGCTTGAGTCCACGCTGGAAGGTGAGTTTCTGAAGTTTACCTTCAGATAAGTTCCATGGGAAAGTGTAATTCTCTGAGTGACCCCAGAAGGGGGCATGGTACGCATTTTAGCCAGTGTTGCGGGAACACAGTCTTTCTCCTGGAGCCCTGCCAGCAGGAGCTCACAGGGAGGCGAGGGGGGTGGTCGCAGGTGCCCTGGGTATGCTGGTTCCCTGTCGGGGTCCAGCCACGCCATCTCCTCCCCATGCTGATCTCCTCAGTAGTCACCATGGAGGAGGTTCCCAAATGCCACCACTTCGCCCCCAGGGGTCCATGCCGAGGGCTGGGGCAGGCTTTGCCGCAGGGGACAGTTCGAACAGCTGGCTCCCCCAAAGTGGGAGGATGACAGTGAGCATCTCTCAGGGTTTACAGTGTGTCAGTAATGAGGACCATGCATGTTGCCCCCTAGAAGTGAATTAAATGCAAGGTTTCAGATGTGACCATTATGCCAGCAGTGGACAGAGCCCGACAGGTGATCTAGGACAAAGGAACTTCACACATATCATTCATGCATGTCAAGTGGACATCAGCACAGTTGACAACAGGACTGTGTCAGGGTTGGTAGGAAGCACAGCACCATGGAGGTGGAAAACACAAAGACCATCCCTAGGTGACACCAACCACGTCACTGTCATCCCCAGTGACTCTGATTTGCAACAGAAATCTCTCCTGCATATCAGTCCTTGAAACTCGAAAGGATGTCTCTCTCTGCTCTCCTACCCACTGTGAAGTCTGGAACATCTAATAACAGTATTTTCGGTTACTCTGGCTCCATGCCTGCTTATTTCCTTCAAGGCGTGTTGGTGGTGTCCTGCTCTAAGCATGGCCAGTGACTTGAGTAATGTCATAGAAGAGTGGTAGACTCGGACAGCTTATCTCTGCTATGGATGCAGTGCTGAGCGAGCAGCTAACACTGTACCATTGGCCCAGGGCTGCTGGTGATAACGGCATCTAAGAGTGCCGTTGACACACAACTCTTAGAGAAGAGCCAAATAGGCCACTTCTCCATTCCACTGAAGCCATGATCAACCTCATAACTTTCTCTGGCCACTGGTGGTAACCTGAAGTACCAAAGACCAACACATTAGTGGTGATAATGTAGGTATAAAGTGTGTCCCATTCTGATAAGAGGAAGACTCAAGTATCTGGCAAGGTAGGGAAGACATTCCTCACTGCTTTCTTTGGGAGTTGAGAGCTGAGCTAGAGACATTCTTTCCTTCAGAATATTGGGTTCTGCTGTAAGGTATACTTCAGTTTAGTTTCTTACCATGAACATATTTCTTATGTTCCAGAGTTAAAAGTAATCATATATTTAGAAAAATGGATGTTCAGACACTGGGTCATATATACATGAATTTGCTTAAGTGGTAGCTTTTCTAGGAAAGGACATTGAGGGGTTGTCTATATTCTATTAATTTCTAAAGCTAGTATTCCATAAAGTGTACCATTTTAGGCAACATATATTTCGGTGTTACTTCCCTGATCTTAGTGATACAATGTTTCCCACGGATAAAGACCCACCCCCTTCCTCCTCTGTTAAATGTTCCGGAAGTCAGATTGTGTTTTTTGTCTTAGTCTTCTTAAACCATTGCTTCGATTCATCTGGGGAAGAGAGTGAAGCAGTATAAGCTTTGGTTAAACCATTTTACCAAACATTCCTATTTGGATGGTATGGATTTTTATACAATACATTCAAGTCTGTGAAATTTAACAACATAAGAAGAAAGTCAGAGGAGATTCTGGTCTGAGGATGGAAATTTATATTCCTCATATAAATAAGGATACTTTACATTTTTTCATCTCTGAAGGTGCTGTGTATTAAAGTCTTTAAGCTTAAGCATGATATGAATTTGCATTAGTGTTCTTTCCCTAAAATACCCCTCAATAATAAAGTTTGGGAAGAACCAAACCCATCGTGTAGAACTGCAATGCTTAATATGGTAGCCACTAGCCGTATATGGTACTTAAATTATAAGTTTAATCGACTGAACTTAAACAAAATCAAAACTTCATTCTGTGGTGACTCTAGCCATATATTGAACGCTCAGTAGTCATGTGGGGCTGATGGCCGCCATATTGAACAGCACAGTGGCTGTCGCACTGGACAGTACAGATGGTGAACACTTCCACCTTCATAGGAAGTTCTGTTGGACAGGGCTGATCTCGAAACTACGCCATCTGTAAGTTTTGGGGGAGATGCAGAGCTTTCTCTAAACTAGAACAAGGAAATACATAGTGTATACTTATCCACTATGGTTTCTTAGAGACCTCAAGTTACCCAGTTGAGCATCCTGGAATTTAATCCACTTTGGCTGCATTTGGATCTGGCCCACAGTGAAGATGCTGTCCTCACGTTTCTGTCCCCCGCCCACACTGCCATGGCCCATTTCCTCCAGTTAAAGAAGTGATTGAAGCCCAAGAGAATTGAGTCGCTAGGACGATGGGCAAATCAAGATGAAGCAAGACTCACGGGAGCTCTTGGTTCAATCAAAGAAACCCTGGAGCATTAACATTGTTAAGGTTAGCCAGTTTGACTGAGTCCATAAGGCTTTTAGCTCTCAAGAGTAGAGGGGTCCTTTGTTTTTTTGTGGGTTTTTTTTTTTTTGCCTTTTTGATAATAATTGTATTGCATGCATTCCCATTACCCATAAGGCCAGCACTTAATTGGGGTCTCGAACTCAATTGTGTTTTCCGCAGTTGGTAAACCTCACAAATGTGGATATTGTGGTCGAAGCTATAAACAGCGCAGCTCTTTAGAGGAGCATAAGGAGCGTTGCCACAACTACTTGCAAAGCATGGGTCTTCCAGGCACCCTGTACCCAGGTAAGCTGGCTCTCCCTCCCCAGCTCGCGGTGAAGAGGGGCCCCGGGCACAGAGCTCCCGGTGTGCGTGCCGCCACCACCAGGACAGATGGACTCTTTGGGCCGCTCACACAGCGTGATCTCACCCAGAGCTCACTGTGCTTCCCAGCTTTCGAAGCCCCCATCTCACCAGAGGGAGCCTGACCTTGAGCCCCTCCCTCTTGGAAGCTGGGGAAGCATCTAAGATAATAGTCACCCCCAAAACTTTGGGAGGTTTTTTCTTGGATTTGCTGATTTTTTTTTAAACTTTGGAGTATCGGTTACTTCTTTGTGCTTAGTAATCAAAATAAGATATGAAGTCTTATTCAAAAAACTATTTTTTTCATGAGGTTGATTGAATAAAAGCTTTCAGGCTGGGTTTCCAGTCATCGCCTGCCTGGAACAGGTGAGCTCCTTGGAAAACCCTGACAGTCCAGAGGATTGCGGCTGTCAGAGGGTTCGAGGAAAGGCTGCTTTTCTTATGAGCCTTGATGCTTTCGGCATCCCATCAGGAGATAGCGTTTGACTCTGATCTTAGATAATGTGAAGTGAAGGACGGGAGCAGACGGCTGAGTTTGCAGGAGGCTGCATTTACTCAGGGGACCGGCGGTGGCGTGGAAGGCACCCTCTCTAACTTTTTAAGACATAAGAAATTTATGAATAGATCAACTGAAGTTAACCTCTTTCAAAACACCATTTGCTCGGCTCCGCCAAGGGAAGGATCGTCGCTGGACTCAGGAGCGGAAGTTAAATTAAGAGTTGAAAATTTTGTAAAACCTCCGTAAGCTCCCTGACTTGAATGATTGGCTCCTAAAGGAAACAGACCAGGGAACACGCAGATCACTTATATCATTTTAAATTTTATGTGACCACTTACTGGATTTTTCTTAGGGTGAAATACACTTGGCGCATACACATAGGGTCCTAACCATTTTTGAGTGTATGGTTGAGAGGGACCGAGTAGGTACAAGAACACTCAGATTAAGGACCAGTGAGAGCAGGAGAGACAAACAGTTCTAAGTTCTAAGAACCAAATATATTTGGCACCAGGGCTGTGTGTTACATGGCCAGAGCTCTGTGGTTCCAAGGCTGCCTTCCTCAGCCATCAGCTGTGGATCTGGGGCCTGACCATTGATCTTTCTGGGCCTTACTCTTCTTGCCTGTAAAATGGGGAGATCCCATTAAATTCTCAGTTAGCCTTCTTCAAAATCTGAGGTCTGTTTCTAGAATGGAAGGGTGTCAAGGCTTACTAGAAGAGAGGAAATCAGGCAGCAAAACAGTAATGATAATGTAATAGTCGTCCATTTGTGGCCAAACGCCAAGGTGATGTCCAAAGGATGAGAGGAAGATGATGATCCTTCAGAATAAAATCTGAACATTCAGACATTGCATTTTCCTGCCACAAGTAGACTAACGGATCCTGGAAGTAAGTGCCACAGTGTCCCATTTTGCCGGGAAGGAGGGACGTTGGAGGAAGCATATAAGCTTGACAGGTCAAGTGTACGACCAGTAGGATTGTTTTTTTATGGATTTTGTGTATATCCTTCAGGTAAATCAGGGGCTGCTTTTATGTCTCCCCATTTAATGAAAAACACACATTTCCAATGTTGAAAAATTGCATATAAAAGTGGTAATAACCTATTTGAAATATATGTTTCCAAAATGGACTGACCCATGTTTCAATAAGGATTTATCTACCCAAGATATTCGCTGCCATTTATTACTTACCATACCGAGCCCTCTAGCACAGTGATCTGAATTTCCCCTAAAACTGTACACATGGAATTTCGAAGACAAAATGAGCAAGAGACACAGACCACACACATTGGCTTTCTCTGCCATCTTAATACTGAAGGAACACTCTAGGATGGCAGCCCAGGCTGACCCAGGGGAGGGCAGGCTTTGTGTCCCTGAGACCTGGGATCAAGTTGCGTCTCCGAATCCGTTTGTGAACGTGACCCTGGGCTCTCAAGTAGGAGTGGTAATTCCTGCCTGGCCAACCTCTCAGAAAGGCTCTGGGCGAAAGAGGAGACAGCAGGGAGGGTAGACACACATCACGTACTCACGTGAACATACAAATGTCAGGCACTGAAGCCTTGACACCACCTCGGTTGGCTGTCTGGGTCAGTGAGCATATATGTCAGTGACACTTGTATTACCCCCTTGCCAGCCAGGATTATTTCTGTCTTGAAATGCTAATTTGTTCCCTTCGGTGATCAGATCACTGGGAATACCACAATGGTTTGTCCTTCTGTTCCCGTGCTTGGGAGATGAAGTCTTCCTGTGTGCAGTGAAGGCACTCGGGGTGTGGAGGGAATCCATAAAAGCACTTCAGGGCCAGTCCTACAAGCAGACATCCGGGATTCAGAGAGCAGGCAGTGGGCTGCTGGGGTGTGGACAGGGATGGGGGGGGTGGTCCTTGCTCACTTAGCTGTGCTGTGCCAGGTCTGGCTGAACCTGTGCCTTTTCATGCCCCGTCCCTCCCACGGTGCCCGGGACCAGCCCCCTCGGCGCAGAGGGACACCTAGACAGCCTCTCCCTACCTCAGTCCTTAGGTTGGGGCCGTTCTTTGGGATTTGGTAAAAACAAAGCCTGGCTTAGCTAAGATGTGGGAACGTTTAATTTTTCTGAATATAACTTTACCTAGTTAAAGGCTTGTTGGTCCTCTGTTGTAATTCCCTTTATGGAAAAAAAAAATGAGTTTCTTCGGAGCGTTTGGAAGAGGATCCATCAGGGGCACAAAGTGCTCTACGTCTCTTACGGGGACGAGCAGGAGACACGGGGTTGGGCCCCGACCCGCCATCTTTGGACTGTTTTGTCCCTCACTGTGATGACGCCGATCATCTCTGGTCCCAGGAGGCCCTGTGGCTGGGTGGGGACGTAAGTGCTGCAGGTGCCCCGGGGTGGGGGGGTTGCTTAGCGGAGAAGGAGGAACATGTGAGGACACCTATGAGCTCGATCGGTCACACGTACCCGTCTGGAATTGGGCCGCGTGGGTTTTGTGTGTAGCCGTCATCTACATCGGGTGTAGACGATTATGTTTGCCCATCGAATAGCAAACACGCATTTCCAATGTTAAAAAATGTCCTATACGAGCGATAATAACCAATTTGAAATCTATGTTTCCAAAATGGCCTTCCGAAGGCCATCTGAAGACCAGAAACACTGAGAAATCATCTTGGCAGGCAATGCCCGGGACGTGATGAACTACCTCACCGTGCTGGGGCCGAAAGCAAAGGTGGGAGGGACGAGGGGGGCGACCAGACACGGCAGGCTCGCGTCTTCCCGAATCCAGGCGTAGTTTTCACATAAAATGTGTCTGTCCATTGTAGGGGAGTATCGTGAGGGTGCCTAGAAGAACAGAGGAGAGGGCTGGCATTTTCAAAAAGGAGGAGTCATGTCTGGTGCTGTGTTCACATGCTGCTAAGTTCTGACTTAGAATAGGAGTGCACCTGCGCTATAAATCAGCCTGTTGCAGCCAAGCAAGGAGGGTGGGGAGGCGGACGGCCGTGGGACTGAGGGTGGAGGCTTCAGAAACGGTGCTGGAAAGACTGAGTAGCTTTTTGGAATAGAACTGACACTTTCAGCTCCTCGTCCGTTAGGATAAATTGCAGGCAGGAGAAGGAGTTCTACTCCAGACACCCAGCCATGGAGTCTGGGATGTGGACGGACTCCGCAGGATACAGCGTTGTCTCTTCAGTCATGGGAAGAAGGATCGCGTAGGGAAATAAAGACGGGCTGGACATGCTCCCCATGTCAGCACTTACCGCGGCATCTAGGTGTTCTGCAGTTAGAGAGCACTGATCTTCCAAGTTTGCTGTGTGTTCGGGGGTCGGGGGCTCTGGCTTGTCCCCCGTGTTGCCGGGATTCACGGTAGTACTCCTGCCTCTCACTTTGCGGTGCCAGCCGACGGCGTCGGACCACGATCATTTCCAGCTCAGACATGTCTGTGACTCTCAGCAGGCTGATGTCAGGACTGACTGAGGTAGTGGATTTGGGAGCCCTTGAGAAGTTAAGAGGACTTGTCAGAGGGACACAAGGGTTTCACCACATCCACCTTCTGGTGACAGGGGTGGTGCTCGTTCCCTTTGGTCATGGGAGATAATGTGCTGTCCCTAGGTGTCGTTAGCAGGTGGCTGTGGGCAGCCTCTGTCTGCTGGGAGAGTTGCCAGGGAGATTAGGAGTAATCCCTGAGAAGGGCCCGGTTCTGGTCGGCACGTAACAAATGTTAGATTTAACGCTGGACGCGACCCAATCCTTTCACTGTAAGCGTTTCTAAACTGGCCTCTCTAACTGTCTTTGACTTTAGTCATTAAAGAAGAAGCTAATCACAGTGAGATGGCAGAAGATCTGTGCAAGATAGGATCAGAGAGATCCCTCGTGCTGGACAGACTAGCAAGTAACGTCGCCAAACGTAAGAGCTCTATGCCTCAGAAATTTGTTGGTAAGAGTCAAACGTTTGCTGTCTCTTAAAAAACAACTGTGTGGGTGTTTTAGACTCAGCTGGTCCTTAGTTGAGAGTAGGAGAGAGAAAAAGAATCTCGTTTTTTTTTGTTTTTTTCTTTTTTAAAGCAAAAATTGGTAGGCTTTACATCTCTTAAATATTTTGGATTTTTTTCTGGTAGACTTCTTACGCAGAAGAAGTCTTCTCCGGGCAGTTTTTCCTCGGTATGGTCTTACAGCATCCCGGGCACCCAGGAGGTCTGCCTGTGGACACTATGCACTTCCGGGGGTGGCCGGATCAGTGCGCTGTGTTGGCCTGGTGTGGCCGGGGGCTCCCCGCACAGCCCATTCACCTGCTGCCTGAGCAGCCCCACTGAGCCGTAGAGGCTCAGAAGTTCATAACCCCTGCGTAGGCTACCTTGGATGGCAGAGCAACTGGCCAATGAGAAGGCCCAGGGAGGAGGGGGCACAGCCACGATGGCTGTGCTCACTGTGGGATCTCTGCCCATGCCAGGTGTTTTGAGGGATGAAGGGAAGAGCAAGGTGGCCTTTCCTCCAGGAGCTCGCTGTCCAGTGTAGACCGTATACAGAAGCACCAGCGGCCCTCATCAGGCCACACACTGCAAATGCAGGAAGAATGATTAGCTCGGTGTAGAGTTAGCTCGGTGTAAGAGTGGAAATGCCCTGGACTTGGGGCCCAACCTGAGGGTGTCAGCACACAGCCATGTGTTAATGCTGTCACCTGGGTGAAATTATTTGACCTCTCCAAGCCTTGATTCCATGCTTTATGTCCCTCACGTGGCTTTGTGAACATAAATTAACACCAAGGATGTGAAAACATTTAGAAACCCTCAGTGTAAAGGTCAACTATTATCAGTAGGATAATGTGGAAAGAGAATGCTAGGGGAAAGGTCATGTGCATGAAAAAGGACCTTGGGGGAGGGTCATTATCGGGAAAGAGGACCTTGGGGGTCATGGTCAGGAGAGAGGACCATGCGGGAAGGTCATGGTCAAGAAAGAGGACCATGGAGGGGAGTGGGTCATGGTCAGGAAAGAGGACCGTGGGGGAAGGTCATGGTCAGGAAAGACGATGATTAGTAAAATTTCAGGAAGCTGATAGTGACCTTGATGGGGAACTAGGATTTCAGCACATTATTAATAGTGGAAGATAGGGACAGGATTCTACACAGACATGAAAGTACAGGGATGTGGTGACACCAGTTGTATGGGCTGGAGCAGGGGTGGGTCACGTGGGACCTGACTGAAGAGCAGGGTGTGTTCCGAGCTAATTCATGTGCCCTCAGGGAAGCAAGAAAATTAAGTCCCAGTAAGCTCTGGCCACGGAGTCAGTGGCCTTTGGATGCTGAGGTAGGAAATGTCTGCTTAACTCAAGAGGCAGGAAAAAGCACTGGCATAATTTTAATGGGAGCCACATCTTAGAAAATAAGACCACAAGTGCCAGAAGGTGACTGGAAAAGGAGAGAGTCAGTGGTGTCAGGGAAGGAGGAGGAAGCCGAGCAGAGGAGTTTGGTGACAGGCATTGGGGGTCAGGGCAGGGACTGGGGGGTGGAAGCCGTGAGTCACTGCAGTTCTAGTAGAGGAGGGTGCCGTTTACAGAAATGATAAAGCCACTTTCTGGAAAAAGAGTTCTGGTTTTGATCTGCTCATCTTCAAGGGCTTTCTGAGGTCGAGGCCACATGGGAGCATGGAAAACGTGTGTTGGGAGAGGATGGGTCTATAATGGGGTTAATGGTTAATGAGGCATGGGGGTCCAAAGGACAGATGGGACAGCAGGAAGCAGGGAGGACAAAGGAGAGGCCACGTTCTTGGGGCTCCAGCCTCCCTTTTGCACTGAAGCCTCCGTTTGGATCAGATTTTAGAGGCTTGTCACAGGATTGGGGGGATCCAAACTGTGGGAGAGTTTGGGGAAAGAAGGATCCAGTTTCAAAAACTTTTGCAAGCCACTGGCTGGAGATGCCATGTGGGGAGTCACCCACATAATATGCAGGCTTAGACTGTGGGAGTGAGGGAGGCCCTGCATTTCCTGAGCAGAGCAGGAGCAAGGTCCTGAGCACAGAACAGGCTGTTGTGCTGGGATTTCAAGTCGCACTGGTCTAGGTGAGAACTCAGCACTCACAGGTGCTGAGCAGTGTGCAGGGTGCAGTGCACAGTGGGCGGGGTGCAGAGGTCAGCAGGCGGCAGGTGAGGCAGAGGGGCTGGGTAACCAGGAGCGGAGATGGAGCAAAGACCTGGTAACAAATGCGCCCGAGGGTTGTTAGTGGTCACTGACTTTGAGAAGCTGGGCACGACTTCTCCTTCACGTTGGGAAATTGTACAAGTCCTGCTGAGGATTTTATCAATGAATCTTTGCAACTCATGTTAGCTTTTGGAGGCTTCCAACCAAATGAGACTACCTGTGAACCTCTCCTGAGCCACCTGGGAGGAGGCTGCGAGTTGGGTATTATCTTCAGATTCAGATGCTTCTGTGTTCAAAACAACAACAACAAGAAGAAGACAAAAGTTCTAACCAAGCCAAACCGGGGTTAGAAAGAAGTCTGCAGGGAGAGAGGGACATAGGAGAGATGTGATGGGAACAGTAGGACAAGGAGAGAAGCGTAGAAACTGGAACAAAGGGCTCAGGAATGGCTGCATATTCTGTTAGGTGTTTTCCCAAGAATTTGGTGATTGATAAGTTATTTATAAAATAATGCCTCTTTCTACACCCAAATGCCTAGCTTGTCCTCACTTCATTGTGATAGGATTTCAGTCAGCCGCTTCTAACTTGTCACAGCTTCTCCATCGCTAAAATTAAAAAATAAATAAATAAATAAATAAGAAAAGAAGAGAGGGTGGGAGGGGGAGAGAGAGTGAAAAAGAAAGGAGGGAAGAAAGGAAGAAAGGAAGGAAGGAAGGGAAGGAAGGAGGGAGCGAAAGAAAAGGAAAGAAGGATCTCTTAGGGTCCTTCTTAACTTCTAGATGCTAATTTTATCCTTTATATAAATTTAGAAAGTGTGTAGGAACGCACCTGTTTTCATACATGATCATACACACGGGCCAGGGGTGGTGCTCTTGAAAGGCTCCAGGTCTGCATTCAAGAGACCTGAGTTCAGAACCAGCTCCAGCTATGATTGACTGGTGACCTTGAGCATGTCACTGGACTCAGTGTCCCCATCTGTGAAATGGATGTGATGCCTCCTGCCCTGCATCCTTCCCAGTGCTATTCTGAAGATCAAAGGGACAATGGGTGTGGCACTGCTCTCAACTCGAGAAAGCACTTAAAAAATGTAAGGTGACATTATTTTCCTGTGGTACATTGTTCAGAATGGTCTATAATTTTGTTTAATCCATACATGATCTATGATTAAAATTTTTACCTTGCACGTTGGCATGACTATAAGTAGGTATTGATTCTGCTGGCAACATTCCTTACCAATTGTGTCATCAAAGATCTCATCCTCTGAGATCACTGGATCAATGAAGCCCATCACAAAGGGGATAATAATGTTACATAACAATGCTACTCATTGTTCTTAGTCTGTTGGGCTGGGCGGATTACAGGGGGAAAGTGTTGTTTCTTGTTGTTGCTAGAGAGGAAGGGCGGGACAGAGGGAGAGGGGGAGAGAGAATCTCAAGCAGATTCCATGATGAGCACAGAGCCCAACATGGGGCTCGACCTCACGACCCTAAGATCATGAACTGTACTGAAATTAAGAGTTGGGTGCTTAACTGACTGAGCCACCCAAGCACCCTGAGAAAGCCTTTTAAATACAGAAGAGGAGATAGGGGAGAATAACAACGATCAATATTCCTGCTATCCATTATAATTATCTTGGTATAGTCTCTTTTTTTTTTTTTTTGAGGTAAAAACACAACCCTGTTGCATTATTAAAATGACACATGGTGAATATAAGGGATTTTAATAGAAAGATGAATGTTTTAGAATCACCCCCAAAACCCCAACATCCAGAAATTGCCAGTATTAGCAGTAGCTGAGCATTATTCTAAATATCTTTCTATCCATATCTATGTATGTGAGGGGCTAGATGATGAACAGGTGGATTGATAGACAGGTGTGAAATCAATGTAAAGATTCTATCATATTACAATTATTCAAATTGAAAGTATCACTTTTGTAGCTGTCTTAAATTTAAGAGGTAAACAAAAAACAAAACTGGAGGCATGGCTGATCTTCAAATAAATATTTTCTCACAAAAGATATTATTTAAAGGATTTTTCCAAGATTAGAAAGATATACTACTTTATTTAAAATGTAAAGACCTTCAAATCAGTGTTTTAATCCATTTGTTTCATTTAGGCAGTATGTACTGACCTGTAGCTTTGGGGAATGAGGACATGATTTTATTCCCCTGTGGCCAGTTACATTATTTTTACATGGTCTTGCCTCCTAATATTCACATTCTATTCCATAATCCTAATTCTCCCAGAAGTCTAGCTACTTATTGTTAATTCTATATTTAAACAGATTCAAGGCTCAGATTCAGTCCTTTTACTGCCATTTCTATTTATTTTGATTAATCTCATAACTGATTGGATTTAACATGAAAGGTGTTATAAGGAGCCCCTGGGTGACTCAGTCAGTTAAGCATTGGCCTTTGGCCCTGGTCGTGATCTCAGGTTCCTGGGATGGAGCTCCATGTTGGACTCTGCACTCAGTGGGGAGGCTGCTCCTCCCTCTGGCACTCCCCCTGCTTGTGCGCTCTCATTCACTCTGACAAATAAATTTTTAAAAAATCTTAAAAAGAAAGAAAAAAGAAGGTGCTATAGGTGTTCTATTTCCATGATTGCTTTGTGTTCAAGGTTGTCTACCTGCTGCCATTCTATCTTGACAGAGTGTGTGGTGCCATGATGGCATTGCTTTTTGAATGTTGCTGTGAAGATCTCTAAGGTCAATCTGATATTTTTTTTTTCTGAAAGGTGATTTCCATTTTCTTTCTGAATGCTTGAAGAGTTCTTTCTGTAACCTTAGAGTTAAATAGCCTCACTAGGATGTGTCTTGGTATTTTGTATTCCGAATAAAAATTTCCTGCCATTTTAATCTGGGGAATCCCTTTTTCTCTCTCTATTTCTGAGAAATTCTTTTCCTTATAGAGAATTTTTTGTTCCATCTGTTGTAATCTCTGTCAGGGATACCAGTTGTCCTGTGTTGGATAATTTGTCTTCCATATCTGTTAGCATTTCCTTAAGTTTTTTTTTTTTTTTTTTTTTGGTCTTTTTTCACATTCATTCACACTTATTATCTGGTGTTTTTCCTCTATGTCAATCATTCCACTTTTAGTAGCTTATGTTCTGTTACTCACTGCTTTTAAATCTGTGGATTCATTCTGTAATAAAACTTTTGGGGACCTCATTATGTTTCCCGAGATCTGACATCTCCTTTTTTCATCTCATTCTGTTGTTTTAGCATGCCATCTTTCAGTACTTGTTTTTATGGAGTCCATGTCACAAAGTAATTATGAGATACCTCTCTTCCTTGAGTTAAGCTTTTTTCCTAGGATGGGCTTATTGGTCTGTTTTACTTCCTTTCCTCCCTTGTATTGCTAGAAAATATTTTCACTGTAACCATGGCATTTCTTTTCATCTTGTTATTCTGCTTGGGCTGATATAACCTGATTGACATTTCGACATTCTTCCCACTGTATGTGAGACTTTTTTTTCTTTTCCTGTGAGAGCTATCAAATTTTCTAAATCCTGAAAGAATGCCAAGGATGGGTTGGAGGGGGGAGTTCAGGTGAGGCAAAGTGCAGTCTTTGTTAAAAGACTTTCTCTCTGCTCTCTCTCCCTCATTCTGAGATTTGGTTAAATGTCCTGAACTGGTTTTCATTGCACTTGGCTAGGGAGTGGTTCCCAGCCCCACAAGGGGACACCAGAAGCTTCTGGCCATTTCCCCTCATGACTCCTATCAAGAGAGCCAACTTCACTACTCACCTGTCCTGTCCCACCTGGTTCTTGCTAGCAAGATGTTTTCCACTGTTTTTTTGGTCAGAAGTGGAAGAAGATGTTTATTTGAATTGGTTCTCTACAAATATGAGGAGATTAGGGAGAATGCTGAGGATTTTGTTGACTCATACTTAACGTTTTTAGAGGTCAGACCTGTAGCCACCTTTTACCATATGTCTCAGGACAGAATTGCCTTTCCTTGGTCCTTGATTTTTTTTTTTAACTATTTCATTAGAACCCATTCTCTTTGGTTGATTGCCAAAGTGAACTGTGTGGGTTTTTATATTTCTCACTTTGTGGAGTATTGGGGAAGAGAAATTCTGTGGGTTTCAATATGCCACGGTAATCTGCAATATATGGATTTTTTTCTCCATTTGTTGTTGAGACCAAGTTTTAAAAACAATGGATTTTAATGGTTACTTGGGAAACCAGGGAATCACGACTTTGAGGAGAAGCAGGATGACTAGGTGGGAAACCACCATTTTTGGTGGGGCTATAAACACTTTGATACATACCTAAATCAGCCTCAAAGTCTGTGCCTCATCTTGTCCTTACCTGGGTCCCTACAAACCATCTGTTCCAGGGTTAGAGCAACAAGATATTTACCACCTCAACACCAGCACGAGGAGAACTCTGTGATGTTAGTAATGCTATCAGATTACTTCTTTGAACTCTCAATGGGGAGAAACACCACCTCTGTGTTCTCTGCCGTCCACCTCGTGGAGAGATTCCATCCATTCTGTTCCATTTCTGCAGTTGTGTGACTGGCCAGCAGCAAGTTTTCCTCTCTGTAATCTGAGGATCACACTGTTCCACTATCAGGGCATGTGCCCCTCCTGACCACCAGCAGATTAGACTGAATGCAGGCTGAGTCGTTTCATGATAAATCTCCTCTGCAAGCAAGAAATGAGACCAAAAGCACGATGGGGCAAAAGCCTGGGCAATTATCAGTGGTCAGAAACATTTTTCTAAAAGGGTTAGTTCCTAAGTTTTGAACTACCAGGGAGTTTGTTCTCCTGCTGGTAAGAGCTAGCAAGAGACCTTGATGTCAGGTGTCCGTGTGGGTGGTGTGTGGACCCTCCAGTGCCACGCCCTCACCAGAGGCCATTACCTGGAGTCTTGGGAGAGTCTCTAAATTCACTTACCTCTGCGTCTGTCCACCTGTTCTTCTGCCCGTTACCCAGAAGGGCACTTCCTTCAGATTCTTCAGGGGCTTCCCATTTTCCCCTGGACAGAAGCTTCCTCTCAGTCTAGTCCCATCGTCTGACTAGATGCCATTTCCACCTGGCCCTGCACCCAGGCTCTGGCCCCACCACCTTTAATCTGTCCCTCCGAAGCTCCAGGCTTCTTCTGCCCTTGCTTTCCCCTTGCTTCTCCCAGTGTGGGACACAAGCCCCACTCACCTGGCTGAGTCTTCCTAGGTCAGAAGCCCGTGTGACACAGCCTTCTGTTTTCTTCATCGAACTTCACAGCCTGGGGCACGCTGTTTGTGCAGCCCTGTCTTAATATCAGTCCCCTGTTAGCTAGCTTTTTACTAGCTCACCTGTCTGTCCCTCCTCTCTGGTCCAGGAGATACTCAGTGCTCAATTAAGATGTGTTAGAGGAAGAAAAGAAACAGAGTAAGGGGTAAAATGTAAACAGTTCGTGAGTGCCTCGGGGGCTTTGTTGTTTCATAAACCAGCCCTGAAAGGAAAGCAAACCAGAAAGTCCTGACAATAAAGTGCAAACAGCTAGAGAATTTGCTAATTAAGCCCTGGTTTCATACTGAACCTATAACCAATATTCTGAGAAGGTGCATTTTTTTTTTTTAAGATTTTATTTATTGGGGCACCTGGGTGGCTCAGTGGGTTAAAGCCTCTGCCTTTGGCTCAGGTCATGAACCCAGGGTCCTGGGATGGAGCCCTGCATCAGGCTCTCTGCTCAGCAGGGAACCCTGCTTCCCTCTCTCTCTCTCTCTCTGCCTGCCTCTCTGCCTACTTGTGATCTCTGTCAAATAAATTAAAAAAAAAATTAAAGTTAAAAAAAAAAGATTTAATTTATTTGACAGAGAGAGAGAGAGAGAAGGAACACAAGCAGGGGGAGTGGGAGAGGGAGAAGCAGACTCCCCAGTGAGCAGGAAGTCCCATGTGGGGCTAGATCCCAGGACCCTGGGATCATGACCTGAGCCAAAGGCAGATCCTTAATGACTGAGCCACCCAGATGCCCCAAGAAGGTGCATCTTGGTGAAAATATTTACTCAGCAGCCAGAGCTGGTCTCAGGGCTCACCATTCCCAGGCAGCAAGCTTGCCCGCAGCTGCAAATCCGGCTGCTGGACCAGAAGTTTCTTGAGGTGAAGCTCACGTGCTGAGAGTCCTCGGCAGTGGTCCCTCAAGCACCATTCGTGCCTCGTAGTTTTTGGAAAGATCAGATGAATGGCACCTTCTCCCCTGAGCTTCCTTGGTTTGCCTCCAGCCTCCCCACACATACCTCTGTGGCACGTGGCTCTGGGGCTGCCAGTGATGGAAAGGTCAGTGGAGCGGGAAGTGAGGAGGGTGTGGGTAGTGGACCCTGAGCATCTTTTTACTCTCAGAGCCCAAACTCAGTTTTCAGTAAACTTTAATGTCAATCATATCTTTTGACTAAATTTTATTCTGAGTATTAAAGTTATGAATTTAAAATTCCTTTTTTAAAGATTTTATTTATTTGACAGAGAGAGATCACAAGTAGGCAGAGAGGCAGACAGAGAAAGAGAGGGAAGCAGGCACCCTGCTGAGCAGAGAGCCTGATGTGGGGCTCGATCCCAGGACCCTGGGATCATGACCTGAGCTGAAGGCAGAGGCTTAATCCAGGCACCCCTGAATTTAAAATTCTATCATGTAATACTATTTTATCTATCTATCTATCTATCTATCTATTTGGGAGGGGGAGATTGCAAGCAGGGGTGGAGGGGCAGAGGAAAAGGGAAAGAGAGAATCCCAAGCAGGCTCCATATCCACCATGGAGCCCAATGTGGGACTCTGTCCCACAACCCTGGGCTCGTGTCCTGAGCGGAAATCAAGAACCAGATGCTTAACCTACTGATCACCCAGGTGCCCCCGTCTAGTACTGTTTTAAATAACTACATTGCATTCTGTCGTGAATAATTATACACTAATATACTTTGATTAAATTTACGAGAGATTCACTAGTTACAGCAAATCACTTGGAATGCTCTATTGAAAATACATCATTTAAATATTAATCTTAAGTTAAATATAGTAATGTCCGGTTATACCCTCCAGAGGAAGAGACGCAGGGAGTAGGTGAGCATTCGGTTGGAAGGTGTGCTGTTTATACTGACCCCCGTTCACTCTGGTTCAGGGGTTGGTTCTGTTTAAGTGTAGGCCCTGGGCAGGTCCCTCTGCTGGGTGACCACAGGCAGGGACGTCGCCACCTTCCCCATCTGGGAGGTGATTGTGCGGCTTGTCCTCTGCGGGAGGACTGGGACGCCCTGAGGTGGGGTGTCCCCCGCCCCTCCCCCCACCCGTGTCGATTTCAGCTGTCGCTGTCATGCACAGAGCTGATCTGGCCTCACTGACTGTCACCCGCCTCCCACAGGGGACAAGTGCCTGTCGGACATGCCCTATGACAGCAGCGCCAGCTACGAGAAAGAGAACGAGATGATGCAGACCCACGTGATGGACCAAGCCATCAACAACGCCATCAGCTACCTGGGGGCAGAGTCCCTGCGCCCGCTGGTGCAGACGCCCCCGGGCAGCTCGGAGGCGGGGCCGGTCATCAACCCCATTTACCAGCTCCACAAGCCCCACGCGGAGGGCCCCCCGCGGTCCAACCACTCCGCCCAGGACAGCGCCGTGGAAAACCTGCTGCTGCTCTCCAAGGCCAAGTCGGTGTCCTCCGAGCGGGACGCGTCCCCGAGCAACAGCTGCCAAGACTCGACGGACACGGAGAGCAATAACGGGGAGCAGCGGGGCCTCATCTACCTGACCAACCACATCAACCCGCACGCGCGCAACGGCCTGTCCATCAAGGAGGAGCACCCAGCCTACGACGTGCTGCGGGCGGCCTCCGAGAGCTCCCAGGACGCCTTCCGCGTGATCGGCACGAGCGGGGAGCCCATGAAGGTGTACAAGTGCGAACCCTGCCGGGTGCTCTTCCTGGACCACGTCATGTACACCATCCACATGGGCTGCCACGGCTTCCGCGACCCTTTCGAGTGCAACATGTGCGGCTACCACAGCCAGGACCGCTACGAGTTCTCGTCCCACATCACGCGGGGCGAGCACCGCTTCCACATGAGCTAAGCCGGCCGAGAGAGGCACGCGGGGCCCAGGCCCTCCCCTCCTGCCAGCAGCCCGGACTGGACCAGAACCTTGTGCTTTGATTTCTAGGTGGATTTTCGTTTCGTTTTGTATTTTTTTTTTAAGTCGGTTGGTTGGCTGGGGTTTGATTTGCTTTGGAACCCGAGATTTTTATTGTTAGAGACAAGGTTACATATGGACACCCCCACCCCCGCCCCCCAAACTGCTGTTACTAGATGTGCTCATAGACTGTTAGCCGAAATCCCCCTCTCCGCTTCCTAGAATTCCCCTCCTCCAAAGAGTTGCTCATTTTTAGAGAATGTTTGGTAAAAATAGGTCAGGGCATGGGAAGGAATGAGCTGTGCTAAGCGTCCCCTGTACCCCATGTGACTGCCAAGGCCCCAGATGCAGTGAGCACAGCCCTTGGTCCTCAGCCTGGCAGGTGCCCCCCGACACAGCAGGGCCAAGAAACCCAAGCCGGAGCGTCTGATCGCGTGCATCTAGGTCTGGAAGCCTGCAGTTTGTAAAAGATGTGATTGTAAGTCACAGCCTGAACAAAAAGTACATTGTTGGAGCAATGCTGGACTCCCCGGGCAAAGGGCACAAGGAGGGGTCGGAGGACCTGGTGGTCTCCATCTCAGTTTCCAAACTGCTGTAGCCTTTCTGAGCCTTCTCCAGCTTTGGGCAGGTGGAAGGCGCTCCCAACTCCACACTCCCGGAGGTCCGTCTGGAGACCTCCACCCTCTGCCTTCTCACATCTGTGCCTCTCATACCCAGAGTCCGACACTGCTGTTTGAACATCCATCGTGAAGTGCTGACCTTAATTCCTTTGAACCTCTCAAATGGTAACATTCCTCAGAAACCAAGGCTTTATTCCAGATTCCACACTCCTTCATTCCCTGGCTGGTTCCACTGAAAGCCAGAAGCCTGTTTCCCCTCCGAGGCCCAACCTAGACCCCATTTCAATGATGTCACTGGTTTGTTTGTTGGTACATTTCTTTCCCTGCCCTCACGCTGCATTATTCTTGTCCTAAAATCCATAAAAGGAGCATGCAGTATGATCAGTCGTTTTCAGAGCAAGGAACTGTGATGAGCAAAGCCCAGGAGATGTGGCTAACATGCTGAACCTACTTGTTAGAAACTAAACTTTGCAAAAGTCTTAAACTCCCCTGTAAGGACAGAGCAGCCCCTATGTGCCCACCCATAAATAGGAACGTCCTTTCTCACCCGGGGCTTGGAAGGTGCAGAGTGACCATGAAACCCGCCAGCGAGGTCTGACGGGAAAGAGGCAGGTGGTTCTGGAGTTAGAACCTTCCTGAGCCATGTTGCCGGGAGCCCCGCTGAGGTGTTTGGCCATTCTTGTCCCCACTGGAAGGGGTAGCCCTCAAGGTTAATCCTATCATTAAAGATAATAATCCCAACCACCTAGGCAAGTAAGAGCGGTACAGTTTCCAATGTTTACATGTCTTTGCCAAAACTGAACCAAGGTGAACATGAAAAAAAAAAAAGAAGAAGAAGAAAAAGAAAAATTGTCTATAAGCACCCCTGCATGTAGTCTAAATCTGGGTTTCTTAGTCACGGTGCCCTTGACATTTGGGGCTGGATCATTGTTTGGGATGGGGGAGCCCCCTGTGCCTTGCACAATATTTAGCATCAATCCAGGTCACTACCCAACAGATACCAGTAACAACCAAAAATCTCTCCAGATGTTGACGAATGTCCCCTGGGGAAGCAAGTCATCCCGAGTTGAGAACCCCTGCTCCACTTAAACCAGTTGAGGGTCTGAGAACCCTTCCCAAGAGCAAGGGTACTGGAAGAATTGTTCCCTCTGGGGGTCTAGCTCCTGACCTGTGTTCCTTTGTACTCACTGCAAATCCTATAAATGAAATAGTCCCTCTCATTCTTCAGAAGCAAATCTTCTCGTGTGCATTTGAGTTCTGTTGAAAGGACGGAGTCCACACATCATTCTTGAGGTGTGGGTGTCTTTGCTTATGAAAGGGTGTGGTGTTTTGAAACGGGAAACAGAGTCACAGGGATTGTGACTCAGGTGCTTGGATGCGCTGAGGCAGGTAGAGACAGGGCTGCTGACGGCTGTGATTCCACACGCTGTCACAGAGAAAGCTATATTTCATCCAAACGAACATGGTCAAGGTGAAAGACTTCAGAGATTTCTGGTTTGCTGGCAGTGAACCTGCCTTGTTCTTTTCCATCCATCCCACCCAGCCAGTTGGTGGAAAGGAGTTAGTTTTTCCCACCATGTGGCTTCAGACAAAGCTGAACCCCGAACTGTAAATAGTGACCACAGATGTTCTTTCCTAAAATGCTCCCCATCCCCTCCCCCCACCACTGCCTTTTCCAGCCAATGTAACCGTCTATTTACACACTTTTTCTTGTGGTTTTATATTGTAACACCATTTTTCTTTGAGATTATTGTGTTTAAGGTAAGGTCCCATAGAATGGCAACAAGTAATTAAATTATGTTACAAAGGTGGTCCTATTCTGTACCGAAAGCTGTTGACGTTTTCTCTTCTAGCTGGTTAAAGTAGGGTTTTGCATGACTTCACCTCTTTATGTCCTGTGGTCTGTTCTGTTGTTGGATAGTGTGAGTGTGTGTCTTGGGAACCGCTGTGTCCTGAAGGGTGCCTAGGCTTTATACACCCATCTTTAAAATAAACACCGGAGACAGTAGGGTCACTAGTTTTGGGTCGATGTGTCGATTACAGTAAGAAATCACTGCCCTTCCCCTCCTATCCCCATCACTGAGCTTCCCCCGACAGAAAGCCTGGACACCTGCTCCTCACCCAGGTCCCTTCTGTGACATGGACCTCAGAACATGGGCTGTCCTATTGGAAGGATCACTAAAAAGATTTGAGGTGTCATTGTTTTGCCACCAAAGGGTGTATCCCCACACCAGTCACTTCAGAGACTGGCATGTTCCACTTCCAATCGAGAAGCGTCCACAAAAAGAAATCGTAGAATCTTTATTGACAAAGGAAGCTACTGTTAATGGAGATGTGAGTTTGGGGTTTTTTTTGGGGGGGTTCTTTTTATTTCTGTGGGGTTTTTTTTCTTGATTTGTTTTGATTACCGTGTAGCTCTCATAGTGTGGTATTTTTGCCAAAATAGAAGCGGAATCAGATGGACTTGCAGAGACAAATCACGAAGCAAATGTATTTCTCTTTACCTGCACTTTTTGAGTTTCAGCAATAAGGAAGGGCCAACTGTACTTACAATCCAGTCAACTTTCATTCAGCTCAGCGTGTGTGTGTGTGTGTGTGTGTGTGTGTTTAACTTTAAAATGAACCACAGTCAGATCTATTTAAGATGGACAGGCCTCAGAAGAAAGAAGCACATCCACACGTGGGTATGGTCGCCTTCACTGTGAACAGATGTAACCAGGTATTAATATGCAATATTGTTTCAAATACTTTCTAATACACTTTTTTACAATGTTGTCTGTGGGGATCCTCAAGATCCAATTTGCTTGCATCCCAGTGCAGCTTTAGGTCTCCGAACGCCATTCTGGAAAATACGTGTACAGGATTGTAAATGAGAAAATGCACTTGTATTTCCCAACCGCCTTCTCTGGTGATGTTAAATTATTTCTGTTTAGCTGTGAACAAGGGGTAGCGTACCCCCTGGAGGAATAGAGGATCCTTTTGTACACATTTTGAAAATGCTTCTTCTGTAGTGATAGAACAAATAAATGCAACAAATACTTTGTTCCTTTCCCGTGAAGTCCGGGGGCCCGGAGGCGAGGCCACCTGCTGCAAACCCCTCCCCGCCGGAGGAGGGGGCGGGCCTTGGGGCGGCTGAGCCCGGGTGGGGAGCCACGTGACCATGGGCATGGGTGGTTTTCACAACACAGCAGTGTGGCTCGGCGGCACACTGACCTCTCTGCGGCTGCGCTGGGCTTGGTGGGGGCGAAGTCTCGGTCTTTGGCTTCAAAATGTGGATTTGAGGCAGGCGGAGGTGGCGAACAATAATCGGTGCGCCCCACACTCTTCACAGCCCACTGCATGATACCGCGGGAGGCGGGTCCGCGGCTGTGGGGGCGCGGGAGACAGTGGCTGACCACAGTGGCCACGTGTCATGACCCTACAAAGCTGCGCTCTCAGACCAGGGCCAAGCGGTGCCAGAAGGCTCCTGTCCTTTTTGGAGAGAGAACCAGACTTCAGGTTCACACCTAGTGAACAAGATGGGGTAGGCCAGGTCTGCATGGTGCAACATTTGACTGGAGCAAGGTGAAACGCTAGTGGAATAAGCAGACCGCGCTCTTCCCCGTCAGCCCCGGCCGTCAATTCCCAAAGGAGACTTTCAAAACCAGCCCCTGACAAGGCAGCATCTTTTGAGGAAATGTTCAGCCTCCTCCAGTAAGCTCACTTCTGGAGCGTGTTGCTCGGACTGATGTGATGGGACGTGCTAGAAATCGTTTCGACCATGTTACAGCTGTGCCTTGTTATTTCTCGGTGATCACAGATCCGGAGAATCAGGAGTATCTGGACTTACTTACAGATAAACCGAGAGCAGCCCAAGGGAGGAAAGTCACTCAAAAGGATGAGTTTGATGTGAGAGTGACAAACGTGTCTGTGTGCATCCGTGCAGCTCACAGCCTTACAAAGCTTAATAAATGAAACCTGAAGGAATCGAGAGGCAAATCATTGCTGGCACTAATCCCTCCCAGACGTCTGGTCCCCAGCTCTCAGTTGCACACTGGAGTCTCATCCTGGAGCCCCAAATGAGGCCAGTGGGTGAGAGGTTTCCAATCTCAGTTCCAAGAGCCATCGGTAGGACGATAAACTCCATTTCTTGGTTTTCACCAAGAATCCTAAGAATGATTATCTCAGCTCATCGTCTGACACTGAACCTTTAGTGTTCCTGTGCTGTCCCTGGTCCCTACACCCTTCAAGTCCATGGTGCATCTACCTCATGGGCCCGAATGATGAGTCCCACTCTGGGAAGGCTGCCCCGGAGGGGGTCCACCTTTGTGGGCTGACAGTGAGGTGTGCCTGGCGAGCCCCAGGAGGACAGCACCGGATTTTAGGTGGGATGAGGCAAGGTGGGAAAAGCTGGCGGCAGGAGCAGAGGACCGGAGGCCAAGTAGACGTGATGTGTTCTTGGTGCCCTGCCACTGTTCCCAGCCCCTGGAGCAGCTGTGAGCACCCCTACCCTCTCTGTATTCCACGGGGAGCCCCCAGGGCTGCTGCTGAGTTTTTCTGCATGATTTTATCATTCCTGCTGGAAACTGCTGCTCTTGAACCCTTTGCTTCTCTTCCCGATGAGGGCCATAAATATACAAGTCCACATACACACACACACACACACACACACATATATATATATACATATATATATAAGATTCTATTTATTTAAGAAAGAGAGCAAACAAGCATGAACGGGGGGAGGGGCATAGGAACAAGCAGACTCCCACTGAGCTGAGTGAAGATCCTGACGTGGGGCTCGATCCCAGCACCCTGAAATCATGACCTGAGCCAAAGGCAGGGGCTTAACCCACTGAGTCATCCAGACACCCCAAAGTTACTCTATATTTTAAATGTTAGGGTGAAACACTAACATTGGGGGAGCTAAAGACCGGATTGCAGATCCAGAGGCCAAAGATCCCTGATCCCATCGCTAATTAATTAGCCATATTATTTTATCAAAATTGAACATCTTGGAGGTTTTGTGACTCCTTGGTGAAAGCATGCATTTTCATCAAAAACACATGGACTCTCAAGGAACAGAATCCCCATCGCAGTTTCTAAAAGTCCTGTGCTTTTTTTTTTTTTTTTTTGTTTTTTGTATGGCTTCTCAACTCCAAACACAGAGCAAGGCACAAGAGGAAATTCAAGGGACCCAGTGATTGGTACAAGACTGGGGGTTGGGGGGGGGTGAGTTCCTCTGCAGGCCAGGATCTGCTCGATGCCTCTGGGTTTTCTCTGCACCAGAGTCTAGAGTGGCATCAGGTGGCACAGACCCCGCCTGCTCAGAGATCATGCCAAAGCATTACTGTTCCTTGCTCTGCCTGTTTCATGGCAGTCTTACCTGCCTATCTCCAAATGCCCTGACCCTCAAGCCATCTAACAGGAGAAAGTGGAGTCCCTTGGCTCTGAGGATGACAGTGCTGCCTCACAGCCAGGCTCCTGTCCTCTCACTAGCCTCTCCTGCCCTGAACCCAAATTCCCAATCCCCAGCTGCCTCAAGGCTTCCTTGTCCTCCATCCCCTGCCCTGGCACCAGTGTTTCCAGAGATCTCCTGTGACCCTGGCTTTCAAATGCAGCTCAGAATCACCTGGGAGGTCATTAAAAATGCAGTTTCCAGAGCACTGGTCCTGATCATTCTGGAACTGGAGGTCTGCATGGAGTCCACCCACCAGGCATCGGACCAGCTCCCCCAGACCAATGAAGCGGATTCCCCATCCTGTTTCTCCCCCCAGCACAGTTCACAGCTTAGCCCTCTTCCTCTGCCCAAACTTATTTTTTATTTTTAAGAGAGGAAGAACAATCATGATTCTCTCTTCCCCTGGAGTCTGAAACAACTCAGAGACAAGAGGATCAGAGAGTGGAAAACCAGAATAAATTGCTATGTTACCCATACAACCTAGATTAGAGGACACACTTCAGTGCATGACCACAGCAGTCTTGCTAAACCCTTTGCCCCGAATTAGACCAGTGTGCTCCCCTGGACACAGGCAGCATTTAAGTTCACGCACTCCCAGGAAGACTGAGCCCTGGCCCTGTGGGAATGGGGGACAGGAGACTCAGCAGGCAGCACAGCCCAGCAGAGCTAAAGTGTGCTCAGTTCTTGCCCCCAGAAGAGGGTGAAGAGGTGACCAAACATTGGATGGCACAGAGGGGAGATGCAGTGTCCCTGGCGGCACGGAGGGGAGATGCAGTGGGAAAAGGGAGGAC